TCACTGCTAGAACCTTTGTCTCCTTTACTGAAACCACTTCTGCATTAAGCTCTGTCAGTGGCCATCACTTTGTAGATTTCTCTCAGAGTTTTTTTTGTGTGTGTTTTTTGTTTTTTTTAAGCCTCACCCTCACCTGAGGACATTTTTCCCATTGCTTTTTCAGAGAGAGAGGGAGGGGAGAGAGAGATAGAAACATCAATGTGAGAGAGACACATCGACTGGTTGCCTCCTGCTTGCTCGAGTGCTGGCCAGGGCCGGGGATGGGGCCTGCAACCTAGGTAAGTGCCCTTGGCCAGAACTGAATCCGGGACCCTTCAGTCCACGGGCCGACGTTCTAACCACTGAGCCAAACCGGCTAGGGCTCCTCTCAGAGTTTTGACGGGGTTGATGTCACTTCACTGAGCAATCCTTCTGTTCAGAGTCCAGTTCAATTTTCTGCATTTGGGAGACAAAAACCACCATGACTGTTACTCAAGGCTGAGTTAGATAACCAGCTCAGACATCTTTAAGGGTTTAAGCCACTGGGGAAAGACCACTGAGTTTGATGTCAAGAAAAGACCCTTAGCCTGATTCAGGAATAAGATGTCCCTATCCTGTGCCCCACAAAGCCAAGGGGGAGAAAAAAAATTCGAATTGTATGGTAATATATTCACATTTTGATAATTGCATTTCAGTAGAAATGAAGAATGTTTATTGGTGTGGAGGGCTTATGAACAAAACATGAAAATGTAAACATTTTGAGTCACCTCTGGGATAGGAAGTGAGAGGGCTCTTCACAGCCACTGGAGGTCTCATTCACACCTGTGGCTTCATTGGACATCTCTGAGGAAAAGATTTCCTAATCTGCATCTCCACCCTGACCTCTCTCCTGAGTCCCGGAGAGCATTTTCAGTGAGCATTTCTACCTGGATGACCCACTCACAGAAAACTCAACTTGCTGAAAACTAAACTCCTTATCTTTTCTCAAAAGCCTGCCCGTCCCCAGGGAATGTCACCAGCATAAACTCAGTCACTCAAGTCAGAAACCTGGGAGGACGTCCTGACTCTTCTCATCCTCAGCCATCCGTCCAATCAGTCACCACATCCTGAAGGTGCTGCTGCTTCATCTTCTCTTGAGTCTGTTCACCTCTCCCACTACCACCAACACTGTGTCCATCCAGATCCCATCGTGTCCTGCCCAGAGTACTTTATTGGTTTCTAACCTATCTCCTTGCCTTTACTCTGGCCCCCTTAAACCCATTAGACCCCAGCACCCATAGCGATTCTTCTGATCAAATCATGTTGCCCTTTTGTGTAAAAACTCTCAGTAGCATTCCATTGGCCTTGGGTTAAAGTTTAACCCTATTACACAAGGCCTTTCACAGTGTAACTTCTACCCACCTCTTTAGTTCATCTCTTGCCACTCTCCCCTTTGAATGCCATGTTTAACACCTCTCTGCTCCTCACAGATTTCCAGGTCTTTGCAAATGTGGCTGCCTTCTCCCCCTTCTCCTCCATCTTCTTGTTATTGAAATATAAAATGCATACAACAAAGTGCACATGCCAAATATGTACAACTTTGAATTGGCTCAAGTGAGCACACCCATAAAACATGTTCCCAGATCAGGAACACAAAGAGGACCAGTCTTCCAGAAGCCTCCTTCATGCCCCTTTTTACTACCATCTTGAGAAATTACTATCTTGACATCTACTAGCATAGACTAATTTTTCCCACTTCTGTACTTTATATAAACAAAAAACATATAGAATTGTGTGAGACATCTCCTGCTACTTAACAAGATGCCAGTAAGCTTAATGGCCTAAAATAAACTTTAAGTCCCACCCTCAGTCACACCACTCCTTTCAGCTATTTTTTCATCTGCTTCATCACCAAGCTTTTTGAAAATTACCTCCATTCAGTGTTCACCTGTGCTCTCTGACGACTCGCTCTTCAATACACTGATCCATCCATAACATCCCTCATCAAAGGGCATCAGTTGCTTCCTTATTGTTGAGCCAAATGAACATTTTCAGACTTTTCCTACTTGACACCCCTGCTACCCACTCCCTAATTCAGTGAGTAGGAGGTTCTTTCTTGCCTGGAATGACTTTCACCCCATTTTCCTCTGAAAATCTACTCATTATTTATGTCATATCTCTAATTCCACCTCCTCTATAAAACTATGCCATTAACAGCTCCTCTTCTCATCCTGTTTGCTACTATTAATATTAATGCCAATAAATACTATTATAATATGCTTGGCTCACTTTCCCTAGAATATAAACTCCTCGGCGCAAGACCTTTGTTTTGTTTGCTGATAAATTTTGAGCTCCAAGAACTGTGCATAGCACATAGTAGGCACTCAATGTTAATTGACTGAGTGGTTAACATTTATTGAGCTCTTATTATGCAGACACTTTCATGCATTATCTCAGTCCATGCTCATCCTGATGAGGAAGGAACTGTATTTATCCCAATTTTGCATGAGAGGAAACTGAAGCTTAATGAGATTAAGTAACTTGCCCAAGGTCACACAGTTGATACTTGACAAAGCTAGGATTTGAGCCCTGATTTGTTCAAGCCCTAAATAACCTCACTCTACCACGTTTGAACTTTGTCTACAGTGGTACTTTGTGTAAAACTTTAGGTTACAGCAGGTTTTCAACAAATGCACTGTGAAAATCTCCAAGCAGCCAGCATAGTGTCTTACACATGTTTGTGTTCACTAAATGTTTATTGAATTAAAAAATGGGTGTGTTGCCCTGGCTGGTGTGGCTCAACTGGTTGGAATGTTGCCCCTACACCAAAAGATAGTGGGTTCGATTCCCTGTCAGGGCACATACCTAGGTTGCTGGTTTGATCCCTACTATAGGCATGTATGGGAGGCAACTGTTCCTCTCCCACATCATTGTTTCTCTTTCTCTCCCCCCCCCCTTTCCCCTCCTTCTTCTCTCTCTAAAATCAATAAAAATAAATTCTCGGGTGAGGATTAAAAAAATAAAAGAAAGAACTTTCTTAGAAAGGGTGTGCTGTTTAAGAGGCAGCATTTGGCAAAGAGACCTCTTTGCACAATCAGTAATTCTGAGCACTGTCCTAATGGTTGCTGCAAATCCAGGCCCAGATGCTGTCTCTTCTAATCTCTTATTTCTTTAGCACGATGTAGGATCAGGGCTGTCCTTGGCTGACCCACCCACCACCCTGACCCCAGACCTTTGCCATCCTTCCTCTGCTAATGAAATTCCCCTGCATGTCTTCCTGCTGTCAAAGGCCTGATCACGCAGAGCAAGTTATGCCCCTCCCTCTTGTCTTCTTGACCTTATGCCCTGCTTGAACCTGGCTGCTTCCCTGGTCATTTGTGACTGTCAGGGCAACATGACATTCATATAGGTCATTGGAACATGGTGCAGATTGTGATAAACAGAGTCACGAGGCAATGTAGGCATTACGAAGAAGGAGAAATTACTAGTTACATGATGGAGGAAGGGAAAATGAATTAAGTACTGTCTTTTTCATCCCAATAAAAGTTTTTTTTATTTTTAAAGAAAGAGTATAACTTTTCTAGGTTTGTCAATTATTTAGGATTATTGATTGCAAGTAATAGAAACTGGAGTGGTTTAAGTTAAAAAGAGAAATTTATTGTTAAGATATAGTCTCTAGGAACCCAAAGGTTGGAATGCAGCCAGATCTCAAGTAGAGATAGAAGTAGGATGAAAACACAGTCCAGGATCTGACCAGCATTCTCCTTCCATGTTTTACCCTTGCTGTCTCCGTGCACCTGCCTCATTCTTGTCTCTCTGTGGACCTCCTCTAGTCCACAGACCTCACTGTGGTATGTGGCTATCAATGGCTACTGAGTTTATACTTGGCAAAACTATCTCCAACAAAATCACACAGTATATGATTGTCTAATTGCTATATGATTGTTTAATTGCTATCCTGAAACTAACACAAAATAATATTGACTGCAAACTGTAGTTGAAAAATAATTTTTTTTAAAAATCACAAATTCCAAGGGAAATATACCTGATCGGCCCAGTACAAGTCAGATGCCCACCCCCCTTTCCAATAACCTGCCACCAACAGAGCAGGGTAATATTGGTCAATTATGGCTGCCAGGCACCCATGTCTGTCCAGGAAGAAGAAGAAGAAAGGGTCATTGTAAGCCAAGAAGACGCTCGAAAAATGTCCACTACACTTGGTTCACTTGTCTGATAATGCCCTTGTGAAAGAATCTAGGTGTGTTCCACAGAATAGAACAAAGTAAGAGGCTTCCTATCTTGGAGGTTTTTTTTCAGGAACAAATTCTTAAAAATGAATTACCATTTAGCAAACATCACCCTAATTAACTAAGATGATGTTTCAATAGTCTTTCTATGTTAATTTTGTTTTCAAAGGCCTAGATTCCTGGCTTCAGCCAGGTGCCTCACACACATCTAGATGGCCTGTGAGAACACAGCATGAAAGATAAACCAGACTGGGCATTCGTCCCTCCTCAAGGTCCACAAATGATATTCACACCTCCCCTTCTTCAACCAGAGTTCTCTCCTCATTCTAATGAGCCAGTGTAATCAGGTCTTGGGAGATAGAATCTCCTCCCTTTGAGGGTCTTCACACTCTGACAAATTCTGAGAAAGCTAACTTTGGCCACTGCTGCCTTCATGTGGTTTGAAGCAGGAGAGAGGAGACTAGAATAGATCCTTCTTTCATTCTGATCTTGCTTTGCCCATTCAGTGATCCATCAATCCAAGACTAGGTAAGGATCATCTGAAAAGTTTATCTAAGTCAGAAGTGAGAATGCTGGAGTCAGGTTGCCCAAGGCAGATCCAAAGCTGCACTCACATCTGTCCCTCTAGGCAGCACTAATTCCCCTGTGATTTGCCCCCAGAATTGGTGGTACCACCCCAGGCTGTGGTGAGTAGGGGTCAGGGCCCTGTTCTAGAGGATGACTTTGTAACTCTTCTCCTCAAGGCATGTTGCATTCCACCCACACCTTTTCAGTGACACCTCTCTGGTCTTCCAGGCTCCCTAGGTACAGCAGGCCGTGTGTGCAACCTGACCTCCCGAGGCATGGACAGCTGCGAAGTCATGTGCTGTGGAAGAGGCTATGACACCTCCCACGTCACGCGGATGACCAAGTGTGAGTGTAAGTTCCATTGGTGCTGTGCCGTGCGCTGTCAGGACTGCCTGGAGGCCCTGGATGTGCACACATGCAAGGCCCCTAAGAGTGCGGACTGGGTGGCTCCCACATGACCCCAGGGGAGGTCACCACCCACCTTTCCTCTAAGGACTCCATTGAATCTGCAAGGACACTGGGCCTTTGGATTATCTCGGGAGGCATGTGGCCTTTGTCTCAACAGAAGCATCTCCTCCCTCACTGGGGTCCCACCCAGGACTGGGACCACATGCTGCATGTAGAGCATAGGGCACCTCTCTTCCTGGTCATGACAGGGTGTTAGAGGGCAAGGGGTGTGGGCCCAGATCACTGTCTCCACCCACCTAGAAGGTTCCTCTTTCCTGAGCAGTTGGCCCCAGGGAGAAAGAATATCTCAAAGGAGCTTTCTCTGTGTTTTCCATAAATGCTCAAGTTAAATTCCCTACTTCTCTCTGGAGGAAAATGTAAAGAAAGCAGGACCAACTGCCATTGAATTAACTTCAATTTTTAAAAAGACCAAGCAAGGCTTTTGCTTGATCAAATGATTTTCACAGCCTCCAGGGGTAATTGGTAATTACCTGGAGAAGGCTGGCTTTCAATAAACTTTAGGTTTAAAATGCATTTGGTACATTAATAGCAAAAGCCTCAGAAAGTGATTGCTTTGCATTACTGCCCTCTCGATATAAAGAACTTTTAGGGAATGAGACTTTTTTCTCACTTTGGTTCTGAAGAGAGTTAAAAAGAAAATTGACACTGTTAGTGTTCTGTAACTATTGGGTGAAGATGGAGGAAAATAACTTGGTGAACAGAGTATCAGAAAATGTGTTTGTACAGATAAGGAAAAAGGGAGGGGATACAATTCCTATCTGGTATGATGCATGTGACCTATGGAATTTTGTAACCGAAATGGCTTTGAGAATGAAAACTTTCGGGATGATAGGAGCAGGGAACCCAAGTGCTGACAGAGAGGTTTCCAGAGCTAAGTCATGATCAGATGCCTAAAAGAAGTTGCCCACATGTACAGAGAAGTATCAGCTGGTACCCATCACCCTTCTCATGCATTTTAAAGACCTGCCATATGTAATTGTGTTCATTTGATGCTTACAATATGACAAAATACCATAGCCTAAAGAAAATGACATGTAGCCTTGCTGATAAAGTTGGTAACCCTAGTATTTCATATTGTAAAGAAATCTTAACTTGGAGACTATATTTAAGAGACCCAGCTATAATTATGGGAACATCAATATGCAAGTTGTGGTTGGCTTCTGCCATGAGCTAAAAGATGACAGCCAAGGGAAATAGAGGGGCTGCCTGCCCCATTTTGTATATTACATGGAAAAAGGGGAAATATATGAAGGTCTTTCTCATCCCCTCCTACAATTTGGTTCTTGTTCAAAATGTGATCTCTTTACAGAGCTATGTTGAGTAACAGGATGTTTCCTTACATGCATCTGATGTCAAAGTATTAATACTTGCTATTCTTTACTACTCTGCCCTTAGTTTCTCTATCCTTGCTTCACAGCAGGACTTATAGACTGAAGCTTGTGGAAAACAACCTGCTGGAGTACTTTGTCATAATGATATTTGCCCCCTAGCCCTCTTAAAAATGACAGCATTCATCTCTTTTCCCTCACTTCCAAACCCCAAAATTTAGTTGTCTAATTTTTCCAAAGAGACTCTTGCCTCTTTTTATCCTATTGATTCAAAAGGGGGAAGAGTAGAGTGTGATAGTAGCTACTCTGAATTTAGTGGGCTCTGTGGGGAGTGGGAAGGCCAGGCAAGTGGGCTCTGCTATGAAGGCCTTCCTGGGAAGACAAGGAGACTTTCATGGGATCCCAAGGCCATTAGCCTTTCTTCTGGCATGAACTGTGAAATCAAAACTCCAGGGATACATTTAGACATGGAAAAGGTCTTAGAGGACATCTCAGCTGCCCTCAGTTTATATCTAGGGAAACTGAGACCAAGAGAGGTGAAGGGATCTGTGCCAATATCAGCCGTTACTCCAGAGCTTCATCACAAACAGGGGCTCCAAGAATATTCAAGAATATTCAAGAATGTTAAGCACTTTATCTATTGAATGAAACTAGCTTGACTCAGGATCAACTCAGTAGATTCTAAATAATTTTGGCATCCAAAGGCAATGTTAACATCTTATTATAAATTGAAGTTTTTTTAGGCCCAAGATGATATCCATTAATTTTCTGCAATATTTGAAAAAGTTCCACACAATGGGAGAGCCTAATTCAATAAAGAGTTGTTTTCAATAAAGATTAAAATCTGCACATAACTCTGAGACTTAGTAAATGTTTTGTTTTGTTTTTCTTTAATAGTTTGCCTCCCTAAATTAGTCTGTGGTGCAGACTAATCTGTATTCTGTGAACACACTTGTCCAGGTACATTCTAGTTACAGTCTCCTGGACAGCCCCTCATGCTCTGAAAGTTTTGATGCCCTGACTTAAGAGACCAGTTTACCTCCTCAAATGCCTTATGCTCAAGCACAAAAACCCCCAATGCCATTACCACACTCAGCTCTAGCTCTGTGCACCTTGGGGATGGGAGCCCTGGCATGTTATTGGACCACAAAGGATTCAGGATGGAAGTGGGAGAGGCATAGGGTACCCCAGGACACTGACTGTCTTATACAAGTGTCACCAGATTGAAATGAGCATCCCAGAAGGACCTATCAAATAGCAATGTAGTCTGCATGGAGCCAGATGATGGGAAGGGGAGTGAGAAAGAGCTGGGTAACTATTGGCAAGTAATTGGCCAAGCTTGGTGAAGGCAGAGACTAGCTTTTTCAGTTCTTGTTGGTAACCTCCACCCTTCCTTCTGCTGTTGCTCCCCTGTCCCCTCTCAGCACCTTCTTTGAGGCTCAGGGCCTCACGCCCTTGCCCAGATCCTCCATACCTACTGTGTAGCTCTGCTAGAGCCTGCCAACATTAATTGTAAGAGATATTTCCAATTGTCACAACCATATTCCTTTTTATTGGAATTATAATGTAGCTTGAAATATCAGGTATAATTTCTTTTTCAAAGTAGATAGCTTTAAAGTGAAAAAATCTACCTTCACATTGACATTTCTCAACCTTATTGACTTATTAAGGAATCTTACATGGACTCTAGGAGACCTAAGTATGGACATTCTATTTCAGAAGCAGCCAACATGACCATGCATGCGCTTCAGCTTGATGGCATTTTCAGGCCAGGATTTTGTTATTCTCATTTATTAAAGTTTGGCCTAGGGCTGGTGCTGTCTCGCTCAGCTGCAGAACATTCATCTCCCCTCTTGCCCACTCTCAAAATAAGGCTCAGAGAAGCATCCAATGGACCAGAACCATTCTTTTGTATTTATTTACTGTACTTCAACCTGGTTTTCCTTAAGAGCAAGAGTTGTACTCTTAACAAATAGATCTCACCAGTTCCAAAGCTGGTAAATTGCTTTTGTCAGGTCTGTGCTGACCTTCTGAAAAGCAACGCACTGGTGTAAGCTGACAGCTAAGGTGTGCTTATTCTGACCTCCTTATCTAGGCAGAGAAAATTTTCAGTCATCCATGAAAATGTTCTTTACATTTTTCTGGGGATCAACGAAGTGACAGATGGTTTGTAAAGCCAAACATGATCATTATTTTCCTAAATCATTGTTGTTCTAGCTCTAGGGCTTTCCTCCCTCCCCCCCCCCCCC